ATGTCACGTACATTACAGAAAGTAAGCGATGGTCTCCGTGACTATAACGAAGTAACAGGGGATTGGTGGAACAAGTCTACCATAATTTCTTCATGTCCTCTTTAACAACGGTAGTTATAAGGACACCGGCTGTTAATCAATGCTGTCGCACACTTGACCGCTTGTAGTAGTTTTCCACAATGTCTCAATAGTTGGATTAAAATGATCTCTAGGGGCCAACTTCGAACTAAGTCAGATCAGTCATAAGAGTAATGTAATAAACAGTACTGAGCGATTTTTTTTGATAGTGGCCTTAAATATGTCCCTAGGTCTAAGAAGGATTAAAAAGCCTGAAGAAGAATATAAAACAGGTTCCAATCCAATCAAAAACTTTGGATTAAAATGTTTATTAAAACGAATTACGTGTAAGTACCTCGATACAAGAAAACAATATCTAAAAACCTAAACCTAAGAATATTATTAGTCATAATAATTTTGACGAGAATAACAATAGTCAGAAACAAACAAATATTTATCAAAATATTGGTGAGGATTATTCATTTAAATTCAGTTGAACAGTCATTCGAGTTTGTTCTCGTCTATCACTGAATCAATAAATTAGTAAGAAACACAATGATATAATAGAACATTCCCGTAACAATACGCACTAGGCCACCAAAAACAACTCGTGCGCATGATGACGCCATCAACGCAGGATTCAAACGTGACTCAGAGTCCGGTATGTCAGACGTTAAAAAAATAAAAGCATGGGCTCTCGCAACCTGCTTTAGAAGGATGCCTCAATGTTACGTGTATATTTTAAGTGAACTTTGAGCAAGATTTAATTATTGAAAACCTTTCCGGTGACGAAGGTTCCAGAATTTTAATGTCTTAGAGTAACCTTTCGATACAGTAGAGTATCCCTTTAATTAATATTCTAAAGCGTTATCTAATTTGTGTTTCAAGGAGGAGGAAGTAGATGCTTGTAGCCATGTCCTGCTTCAGCTATTTTGCACCTGACGGTATTTTGATTAGATCGCCTTTTTGGTGAACGGTACTTGAAGCCGTTACTTCGTACTCCATAATAATACTGGAGTTATATTTTGTAATTTTTACTACATCGGTACGGCTTTCATTAAATTTATAAACGGACGTTAGTTATTATCAAGCTAAAACAAAAGGTCGTTCAGTGAATTAGGTTAATTAGATAACGTGAAAACTGTCAAACTCGTTAATTTACTTAAACAAAAATGCTGATATGTGTACATATTATATTCATTACGTATTACTCTTTACTGTTACAAACAATATTTATTTTATCACAAAAATATTAGGAAAGTAATCCTTTATTACAGGTTGCCTTTGTTGCGGTTCTACCGCTAAATGGTCTTTCCGGAATAAAAATCTAAGAAAGTTAATAATACAATAAATTGCGTTAATAAGATAGGTGATAAAAGTCATTCATTTCCTTAAAAGTCTGATGGGCAGATGTACAACGAGGTCAAGAAGGAAAGATTGCAAGTATCAATACAGACGTAATGGCATTAAAGAATTCATTCATAGCTAATCGCAAGACCATACGCGGATCGTTAACAAACGTCTGTGCCATAAATAAGTATGATTCAATGTCAACGGCTTCAGGCTTTTGAGCAAGGAGTACGTTGAAGTTACGTCAGATGATTACTCTTCAAATGTAAAGATATTAAAGACAATCGCGTCACCTAGTATAGAATAAACTTAACAACTTAACCATTGTGTTGATGTAATCATGGATAAGATGAAGTCAATATCAAAACAGGTAATATTAACAAAAAGACTTACGTTTTGGCAATCTAGATTCGAAAATTAAAGAAGAAATGAACCGTTTCAGAAAAAAATCTGTGTATGCAGCTAATCCTACTGTTGACAATAATATTATTGCGAAGATTTAAGGCTAAATAAATAAAAAATGGTTAGCCTTGGGGCTGGACCGTCAACAATAGCTTCAACTTCGGCTAGTAAGGAGACAGGAATGGGGTCACCGCACGAGGCCAGTTGACACACGCGGTCAAAGCAATGCAACCGGTACAGATTTACAAAAGCGGGAATAATTTCAAGTGCACATTAAGATTGATTGAGGAAAATAACTTAGTAAATTTGCGGTACAGCTCATATGTTGAATCAAAGATCATAAAGTCTACTATTGAAGTTTAATTTGTTTCTTGCTTTTTAGTATGCAGATGTTCTTACTCAAGGCATATTATAATATTTAAAGTTAACTTTTTAAGAAAGTAACAACAGGTAATCGAAGAAAATTTGGTCAAGTGTCAATCTCGAACATATGGCTGGTTGACAGTCTGCGTTTAAGCCATATAAACGAATTCTGTGTAAAGGCCTTATACCTTAAAAGGTGTGGTGCGGTGTTGTAACAGTACCGAGCCTTATATGAGTCAGCGTCTACGTAAATTAGTATGAAATAAAATCTTTTGAACTAATTGAACATCTGTTCCGTAGAACCTATTGTGGCGATTGCTAGTTTAGACAGTAAATTCTGTTCCTATTTTGATGCTTACGTCATTTAGACTGAAATAAAATGTAATTAAATGTATCCGGTACAAAACTTGGAGTGTTATACTAATTCTTAATGTTTTATTTATAAAATTAAAGTTGTTAAGTCATTGAACTTTGAGTTCACAATTGGAATAGAGTTAATTATGTATACTAGTAATAGTAATTTTATTTGAATGTCTGTCCATCTGTTTGACCTGCTTACTTGCAACGCTGATAAGGAGCTTAGTCGTAGATAGGCACCTAGTTTAAATAAGTAAAACACATATTTACAACAAATTTATTCCACCTGCTCCTGCTATTAAGCACCTGCTATTAAGGGTCCCCACAAAAAGCAACCGGAACATGTTGTAAAAGCTGTTTTAATTGATCTTCCTTGACCTACATGCAAAGCAAGTACCTACGAGAACTCGCTAGAAGAAAGGTGTCCTGATAATTACGAGAACAACGCTTTTCGAAGTTATTTTTAAAATAACGGAGTGTAAAACTGTGTTAACGGTACTGGGGACGAGTTAAAGATAACGATTTATTTTAGTAGTGATTAATATTTATGTAGTTGACAGTACTGTAAGCTTGCTTGCCAGAGCGTACCTAACTACGTATGTACTAGAGCAATGACCGTTTAGGAAATGTTAACAATTCGTCGAATGTGTAAGATTTGCGTCTGATATGTAAAAGTTTTCCCAAAGTTTTATGCAATAGTGGTATTGCATAATATAAATTAGCTGCAATACATGCATTAACGGACATTTTAATCCTTACCGATCGATTAAAATGTGTGTGTTTGTTTACTTATTTTATACACTTTCACGCATTACCACTAAAGTGATCATAATTTTTTGTAGCAGTCCGTATGTTTCATATATTGCTATTTAACGTTAATTACTGTTCCTGAAAGATAAAAAAAAATAGTTTAAATATTCTAGATGAACCACATTGTGTAAACGCTTTAATAAGTAGATAGGTAGATATAAGTAGATAGGTTTTTCCAAATAGGAGAGGTGGAGGAATATGTTACGTTCTGCGTATTCATCCTGAGAACGTACCTACAATGAGTTGTTGTTAATAATGTACCTAAGTATATCAATGTCCCAGAGACTTACGTCATCAATATTTTTAACATAAATGGGTTTTATTCACATTATTATTAATTCCTCACGAAACAGATCAAATGACCGAAATACAATCATGTCTGGCATGGCATGGCATGGTGTGTTTCTTCGAGAATGACTATCCCAAAAAGTAAATGTTTTTTTTTAAAGTTGAATACGTTTGTAGGTATTCGAATAAAACAAACTGAGTCACTTCTAACCTTGTCTCAATGCAAATATGTGAAGAGTCGGCGATACATAACATACATTTAAATGCTAAAATACGCTATTTACATGTGATACAAGACATTGACTTGAATATTCTTTGGAATGCAGTTAACTCAACAATGCTATCTAACTTTCGAGAATATTTCTAACAAAACGAATTAATTCTTATATCCTAATTTTATCCGTTACACAATTGGGAATTTACTCTTGGCTAAGATGTTTTACGGACAAAGTCGAATTTTTAAGGTATAACCTTATTCATTTTACTACAATTTGCTTTTCTAGTAGACTTTAGTAGACGTAGCTAGCTACTCAGCTAGCATCCTATCAGTTGTTAACATAACTGTCAAATATTTTGTTACTACCTACGTTTCCAGCTACAATAATTATTGTTTAATAATCGTTGGTATGTTGTACTATCTGTTTCTGATGGCATTGTTTAAAGTTAAGCGTTAGTTTAGGTAATAGGTTCGATAATAAAGACATTACGAAATAGATCTTATAAAAAAATAGAAATAATTTATTTTGCAAATAAAGCTTACGCCCTCAGTTACTACATATATATGGTTTCATACCTCCTACAGTTCTTAATCAAAAAGTCTACAGCCTTTAGATACGAGCAATTAAAATCGATTTATATTTTTCATTATATTTTGTTGTACCTATTATTATCAATTGTTTAGTTTACCTTTAGATTACATATGCATACTTATTTGTATTAGTATGTAGGTATAGCAAGAGACTCTGCTTATACCAATGACATTGAATGCAGATATAATTAATTAACCATAATTCTAGAAGTTATGACAAAGTTCAATAAATACATAATACCTATTCATCCACGTAACATGCAATCGGCTAATAAGACTACGTTGTTTTATGTATGAAAAATGAACAGCGGGCTCATTATAATTCAAAAACATCTGGTCACAGCTTAAGTAAAGAGGTCACACCATCTGCTCCCAAAACTAGGTCACGGTTGAATCCTTGTAACACAATTTCTGGATTTCACAGCATCCCCAATCAATAAACTAGGCGTGTAACACAACCTGTTTGCATAGAAACACTCCCTCATCGCGCTTTCAAATAAAATCGAACTTCGAAACATGGTCGGTTTATACCTCAGCTTCAAAATTTAGATAAGTTCAAACTTACCTTTCTCTGAGCCTCGGCGGCAAATCCAGACTTAGTTGCTCTGTTGTTGGCCATGTTTCAGTTTTAACTAACTAAAAACTAGTTAATAAAATATATAATAAATTAAATCACAAACACGGGTGTTTGCCGTGAAGTCACTGTGTACAGAAATTAATGTAAACAGGCGCGCGGGTCAACACGGTACGACCAAGTCACACGAAGTCGGATGTGTGAGTGTGTGCTGATGAATGACATCATGCAGTACGCCGCGCCACTGCTGCCATGCCGAGCGACCGGTACACGAGCACCAAGCACAAGCCTTCAATAGACCCGTGCCCTTCATATCGATACTTCTAATTCCAATAAGACTAGTAATTGGTTACAGTGGACGTTGGGACTCGGGACTCTTGGGATCCGACCCAACTTAGTGATACACCAATGACAGACGTTAAAGGGTGGACGGAAGTCATATTTTGATGGGACAGAACGAATACCCATTCGTTCCCAGTAGCTAGTGAGGCAAGAACAGGATATCATTCTTTAATTCATTTATATCTTCATTTTCTCTTGTAATTATTCATTCAAGTGTACTCGGACGGATTCGTGTTTAAATAAAGCATTAACAGCGACAGAGTTTTGTTTTCAACAGAAATTTGTCATTTTCTAAAAATGCATGTATTGAGATTTTCTTAAATCTGATTTCTATCCATTATTTCCGGGTTATAAATAAAACTGCTGTAAATTTTACTAAAACTTTATTCAATACAGGTATTAATCACCTGGCACATTCTTTTTTATCGTTTTTTATGTAATAAAATCTGTCTATTTATCAAGGACAGTACTTATTTTTACAGAAAATTGATTTTAAATAAATATATTCTGTCTAGAAATAAAAAAGAAATTGTAATTTATTATCGTATTTGTATCGATAAGTAGTTGTCTCAGCACTACAAGCTCGAAATGTAAAACGAAAACCATGTTGGGAGTACAATGAGAGCGAATGAGAAACCAATTCTTCTATCTCTCTCTCGTCTCGTCCAAATGGCGGCAACCGGCAAGTTACCGTGAGCCGACCTAAAGGAGTCTGGGGAGGCTTTCATTTTGTATGAATGTTTGAATACTTTAATTCTAACCTGTGCGTTTCTAAGAACTATGTAACTGGTATGTAACATTAAAGAAAGAGGCATTTGCTAGAATTACTATACCCATGTATGTTATTTAGTACCTAGTTTAAAATAAAAAAAACTATAAGCTAGGATACGATTGCGTTTGTAGATCAGTTTAGTTAAATTAATATGATATGAAATGTAACTTACCACCGATATATACTTAAAGGAAATTTCTTTAGATGATTTTTGGGTAATAATGATCTAAGATTGTCATTGATTAATGACTCCCAAATAACAATATCTGCTAAATATCTATCGGCTTCTATCTATCGCTATCAGCGGAATCAAATATCTTCATTTAGGTATAACCTTAATTACTTAATTAAAATAAAATTCCTTTTCAATACTGCAAGGGTTGTAAAAGTAAAACCCTATATCCCATAGAGGAATATTGGCGTAATCAGGCGTAATACAATAAAACTACATATATTTCTCTACCGTGATGGTATTTTTGACACTGTACAAAAATGTAATCTTGTCTGAAGTGTATTGGGAAATATTAACGACATCAATTGTAATATACTTACATATGGCAATCGGCCTTTAGCGCTAAAGGAAAACCTGTGCTTAAACAATTTGATAGGTAACTATAATACATTGTGTTTTTTTGTAATCAAATACCTACACTTATAAATTGTGTGTTTTGCACAAACATATTCGTCTAGAAAAGCAAAATAACAATGAATGATTTACAAAAACAAATATCACACATTATTAGAGATAATGCCATGTGGCATTAGGTCGGCCTCGTGCAAGTTGTAATGCAGGAAGTGTAAATAAATAAATAAATGATATTTACCCATTACATATATACAAACGCCACTTACAACGAGTGTTATAAATTCATTGTATACCAGACTAGCTATTGCCCGCGGCTTTACTCACGTAATTATTTATTATTTCGTTTTTCTAACTTTGAAAATGATGATACAACCGTTCACCCCTCATTTAACGCCATTATGGGTTTTATATGCAAAAATAGTTTCTTAGTGACTGCTTACACCATGAAAAGAATCAGCTGCCAATATTTCAAGTTTGTAGCCCCAGTGGTTTAGACTCTGCCTTGATGAATCAGCCAGTCAGGGCAAGTAATTTTATACTTATGTACCTAGATAATATGTTCTAATCTCCATCACATGCGGAAAGTTACTATACGTTTAAAACGTAAGTGACTTTCATTGAGATTGCCGGGCCTAGTATTGATTACATATAGTTAGTATATTACTTGATTTTACTAGGTTTGTAAAGAATAATGGTTACAATTCATAGTTATACTTTGCCAAGTTCTTTTGTTCAACCAATTGAATCGCTCAGCATGAATTCGGATTCAGGCAAGGTCAAGAAACAATAGAGCTAGTACAGGGGCTAGTGGAACAAACACATTATGCTTTAGAACATAAACTATACATCTTAGTAGTATTTCTGGATTTATCGCAGGCCTTTGATAGAGTATGGCATGAAGAACTCCATTACAAGGTAGTCACAATCTTACCTATCAACTACTTCAAGTTTATAAAATCATACATCGAAGAAAGACACTTCTATGTAAAATACGGCGACAGACAAACGAGTCTTTACAGGATCAAAGCTGTTCCTCAGGGCAGTAGTATGGGTCACTTATTGTATCTGATTTACACATATGATCTTCCTAACGCAGAAAATATTATTACTGGAACATATGCTGACAACACAGCTATCCTCGCAGTGGATATGACTTCAGTTGGAGCGTTTAAAAAACTCCAAGTAAGTCTCAATAATACATCTAAATGGACCAATAAGTCTGAATTTACCAATTCTTTTCATCTGTTCGTGAACGGTTGTCGAGAACATGGCTTGAGGTGGATCACTGTGTCGCTCAATTTCGTACAGGACATGGTAACTTTAAGAGCAAGCTGTATTCATTTAAATTAGTCACCATTCTGTCAACGTTCAACACCTAACTCTAACTGTAAACAGTCTGCTCATCATATCCTCTGGGAATTTAGTCTTTGTTATAACGAACGTAATATAATGCTGAAAAGCTTGAGAATGACATTTGGGACTAGGGTGAATTTCCGTGCGTTTAGGCGATTCTGAAATATATATTATAGAAATCAAATATAGCTCACTTAGGACCCATAATATTTTGTGGCCGTTGTGCTTCCCTGTTTAAAATGGTGTATGCCTATTTCACTTCCTTTTGTCTCCCGCTAAGGAGGGAAGTGGATTTACTGTATTTTCTACTTATATTTTCTTCTCATTAATTTCGTTGCGGGTTCTAAGACAGTTTAATTTTTTCCTGGGACTTCCCGAGTGTCATAACTCGATGTGTTCGTGGGTTACTGCTGTTGATCCTGGTGTACAAGTCCATTAGTTTTATTGAAAAAAAAATGTAAATGGCTAATGGTTTCATTGGGATGGTTTTATCCTGCTTGGAGCATAAAGTCCAATGAAACAAAGTCCGTGCTTGTTACCTTTACACTGAGACGTGATACATGCCCTAAAGTAGAAGTGAATCAAGGAAGGATCCCATAGTCAGATCGGGTCGATCGATATTTAGGAATTTACTTAGAGAAACGTTAAACATGGACGAAACATATTTTTACAAAAAGAAAAGCTCTTGGTCAACAGGGGAAAAAGATGTTGGTATTGGTTGTTAAATCGCAAGTCCCAACATACATTGAAAAATAAGCTTTTACTAAACAAGGCTATACTTAAACCGATATGGACATATTGAGTGCAACTGTGGGGCACAGGCTCAAATTCGAAGATTAAGGAGACGAGCGCCACAAGATCTATTAGACACATAGATACTTCATTATAGTTGGACAAATCACTGGATTTTCTCATGACACATTCTTATACACATGCTTAAAATAAAGCTAAATGTAATTTAGACAGATAGCAGAAATTAATGGAGATAAAAAAAAATTGGTTGCCTGTAAAGTCGGTATACGGGCGAAAGTTTTACGTGACAACGACTTTGAGTGGTAAAATAATTTTAATGTGAATATTCATTCGTATAGTAGGAAGAAGGATGAAATAATAGTAACAATTTAAAACATTTATTTATACAAAGAATTATATTTAAAACATTAATTTATACAAAGAATCTCGCACTGAATTTCATATTAACAAAATTTTATTTTTACCTTTACACATACATACGTATTTATATACAAATAGGGACGCGTGCCTTTCACTTTTTATGTCTGTCTCTCTCGCTCTTAGGCGGGCTAACCATTCCCGAGTGGAAGGGACGCGTGCCTCTCACTCGCTCTCATTGTGAGCGCATAACGTGAGCGGAGCGTAACGCAGTTTCTTGAAGTGTCACCCGGCAAACCAATTTATAAGACGTTGTCACGTCAAAAAACCCTATTTGGTATGCATTTAGACAAGGCTAGACAAGGCACTGTAGGTACACTATACATACATTCATTCACGCTTGGAGCACCGAAGGAGTAAAAAGAGCGTTGTTAAACGCCAACATTTTGCCGATCGAATTATAACTTTCTGTTAATAAACAATACTGGCCACATGGGTCACATATAACTAGAATGCTTTATGACTTTGCCAGCTTTAAATGCTTGTGTTGGAAGTAGAATCTCGACAGTAGTGCAGTGGGAGGGATACGAACCCACAACCACTTATCTCAAGTTATACGCCTTAGACGCTACGCTACTGCTTACTACTTCTGTTTAGGCTTAGAATATAGCATAAATTAGATTTTCAGTCATTTTGAGTATTCCTTTATCGTTGTTCCGTTTCTTTTTATTTTTAGGTTTAAAAAAAAACAATTTATTAATCAGGATGAGCAAGAGTAATTTATTTTTAATATGACGTTCCCAATAATGCATAAATGGGGATATTTGAAACTGTATCGAAAAGAAACAATTAAACAATATTGGTAAAATACAAAGAGAAAAG